ACCCGTAAATAATTTTACAGCGGAAACAGCGGAGATTAAATATAAAAGGAAATATCGTTTTATTGAAAGAAATGGGAAGAATGCCGAATAATATCAATTGTGCACAAGATAGGACACAGGAGAAAGAGGTTGAGAGCCGGGAAGAAATTCAAAGAAAGAGAGAATGAGATAGAAGAGGAGTGATATCGGGGGGGGGGGGGGGGGGAGAAACGGGGGACTGTAGGGGTGGGGATGGGGAGGGGGTGGTGAAAAGGGAACAGTGACGTAGATCGCCTTATGATGACGCAGTGGTTTAAAAAATCTTGAAACACATTCACGCTTTTTATTATAAGCTGTGATAATAAAAGTTTGAACATGCTTTCAATATTATCTGCAAAGTTATTTTTTTTAAAGAATATAAAATGAAATAAATAAAAAAAGCCCCAATGACTGCTTACCAAGGAAATTGCCGGCAGGTGCAAAGCTTTTTGCTCCCCTTGTTTTCCTTTTCACGACTGATCGTGTACGGGCCAAGCATAACATTCTCAAAGGGGAATAGGAACGAACGAAAAAGAAATAAAAAAAGGGGGAAAGTCTGACAAATAAGATTAAAAATTTCCTTCAAGACTATTTTTAGAATGATCTATTCAGAGTCCGGTACAGGTGATTCTAAATGTTTTACAGTTGTACATGCTTCCTTATTCATTTTATATTTAGCTAAAATTAATTAGCAAATGGGATAGAATACCGGTAGTAAAATTCTCTTCCGTAATAACACACCTGTTCCGTAACATTCCATATGTATTGTAATTTGTATGTTTATTTGCATTTTTAGTTTTGTATAAAATGTAATTGTATATCAGTCTATTTTGTGTGTATAGCGCTTAGAGACTTCGGTGGTAAGCGCTTTGTAAGTAACGTTTTTATTATTATTATTATTAACTGTTGGCAACTTCTTGATGAATTATAAGAATTCTATACCATACTTATGCAGCTCATATCACAAATATATCCTTTTGCGCTGAAATGGAGAAAAAAGGTGAAAATATTTATATATTATTCCGATGGTAGAATTATGTCAGTATATGATGTAAGAGGAAAGAGCAACAATGGCGAAGATTTTTTTTCTGTGACTTTGGAAAAACTTAACTTTCCACGCCATTCCCCATCAAATATAAATGGCATCAAGCATTTTGCACATGCTTGCCTCTTCGTAATCAAGGTTGTGATTCATATCTATTTTGTCTACAGAAAACATGTATACTGAAGATGAGTCAGTATTTACTCATATGGTTCATAAATTGTTTACCAACTATTTTTTTTAATGATGGACAAAATAATATCATTACACTGTATTCTCATAGCCAACTCCTAGGTAGAACCAGAAAATGAGTCATAATTATGTCACGTAACCGATGGAGAAGTGTTTTGGGAAAAGAGCACGATATGAATTTGTTCATAACTGAGGAGTTATGGATATTCCTAGCTAAAGATGAAATAAGAGGAGCTAAATATTGAAAATTAATTTGATATATCAACTTAATAAATAGGAAGCATACACATAATGAGTATTATCAGAGTTTCATTTGAGTTAATGTTTAATCAAAGAGGATTCTGTCAGTGCCAGGCAATGAAAAAAGGCGAGCAATGGAAAGAAAATATTAGACTGGTTACAAGGTGTATTCAACAGTTTGTATGTGTGAGTAATTAATTCCTTACATACTTGAAATGTGAAGTGGAATTTTGGTTTCCCATTTATTGGCATTCTTTGAGTAGTTAATTAATACGTCTGAGACGGTTTAGCAACTATCGCGGGCGTCTCACAGAAAGACTATGAGTCACATTCCATTTAAAGTATTATGACGTCATTTCAGAGCGTGCGTGTACGGAGACAGTACTTTGTCCTTGCTAGGTCAAGCAGGCAACCATTGTCACGATGGGGAAAAGGAGCCAAAAACGATTGGGATATAAAAGGAAAAGATACACACCTTCTCAGTGGGTGTGTGGAAGAAAACGTAGAACGAATGACTCATTCGACAAAAGGTTAGGATATAATGGACTTTGACTTGTACGAATGGATCAAAATTCGATGACTAAATAATGCAGTCCCAGGATAGCATAATCTGATGATCATAAAGATTCGTTAGGAATGTATATTGTGTTCTATATGGTTATGATTTCCCATCTCCAAATAAAAGCTCGTTGTTCTGTCGTTACTCATACAATTCGATTAAAGCCGTTTGAATGATGATAGAGATCGTGGATACCATACGCTCTTAAGTAGAACTTGCAACATTGAGATGACATAATGTTTATGAAGTCCCAAACTTCGCTGTTTTATTAATGTAAACAATAGTTTTTAGACACAATTTAGTATTAAAGTACGACGATGGACATGAAGGAAAATAAACTTCCTAATATATTTGATTCAGTACAGCTGTTCTAGAGGAGTTGGGGCTCAAGCCCCCTCCTCCCGAAAAAAAATCTACATACCACCCCGGCCCACTGAAAAAACATTTGTAGGCCTACGTTGGACAATGGGCAATTTGAATGATAAAGTGAAATTGTAATACAGTCAAGGCCTGTAACTTTTATTTCGGTGGGTAGATGTAAATCAAAGATGTGAGCCTTTTAAAATACATTGGATGGGAATACAGAGAAGACACGAATATGGAAGAAGGGGAGCTAGGGCGTGCATAACAATGTAGATGACGGAAGCTAAATGTTAATAGGAAATTGCATTTTCAGAAGCAGAAAAACAGAGAGACAGCGATGTCACGAATAATAGTTGCCATGGCTTAACATTTCGACTGCCAATCACCGACATGAGTTTTTCACGTTCCACCTGTCTTACTTATCGGCTCGGTGAATAAAATTTTTATTAACACTTTCATATTATTGCGTCGCTGCCATGGCAACGGGAAAACATCCCTCGGACGATGATCTTGCGTGTAAAATCCTGTCAAGATTAAAACACCTCAAAGAAGGGAATCTGCCCACGCATGCACTGGTATGACAAATGATGATTAGATACGATATTGAGGGTATTCTGTCATATTTGTTAATTTCTGTATGCTATTTACAAACTGGACGCATCTTCAAATGGAATGACAAAGTAAATAAAATACGCAAGATAATATTGATAGCAATATACACAATAGTATCTTGCCCGTTATAAAGCGGCTTGTATGATTATAGTCTTGTTGAATTGCGAGGAGCAGGTACAGACTGTTACAAAGGATAATTTTATTTTGACATTTTATGTCAAAGGTTAACATACTACACTCAGGTTAAAGACATCGAAATACTTATCAAGATGTGTAGATCTTTATATCGTCCCTTTTTTCTTTCTTTTTGTTTTCCCGAGTGCATTTTGTAATTTAATTGTTAGGGGCAAAATACTACAATCATAATCAAACAAAAATTAGGTGTTTTTTTTTTCGTTTGCGAGAAATGTTTTGAGAAAGATATTTTCCCTAGAAAAGAGCGATTTTCGCTAATTATTCACTCCCCTGGGGTCATGTCAGTGATGACTTGTTTAGGATTGAACATTGAATAATTTTAGAGTGATCTCTTAAAGAAAAGAGTGAATTTTCTTTGTTCACTTTCCAGAGGAGTCCTGTCAGTGATCACTCGATTAAAAAATAAAAATCCCCAGATATTTCAAACAGTTTTGTTCTGAAAAAAACTCTAGTAGTATGTTTCAACTTTGAGTACATACTTATCTTGCAACTCAGACAAGGGATATTTCATATTTTCTAGACCTCTGTTTGCAATTTCCTTTCTTCTACCTCATCCCAACCTGCTTCCTTCCTCCGAGGTGTATGACTCCCTTCAAGGAGAAACCGCATTCTTCACTGAGAGGTTCGATACTATTTATTATTTCATCGTCAAGAGAAAAGAAGAGAGACTCTAAATAGAACCGATGATAGTTTGCGGGTAGTGGCGGGTCATGCCTCCCCCTCCTCCTCGATTTTTGAATTTGTGGGGAAAAGGGAGAAGAGATAAAGTGGGGAAAGGGGGACTAGAGAAGGAACGGGAGGGGGAGGCTGGGTTAAAAATAAAATGATTGCACCCCTTTCAATTCCCCCACTCCATTCGATCGACGTCCATGTTCTTTTAGCATTTCATTCACCTATAAAACCGCGATGCGCCCTCCCCCAATGACCAGATGACACTGCTCCCCCCCCCACACACACTCAAAGGCTAGACCCACACGCGCTACGCCAGTGTAAGCTGATGCAACTTTTGCGATATGGAGTAGCATCTTGTATTTACTTTGAGAAACACAAATGTATGATAAACATTCAAACTTGCTGGGTGTTGGTTGAGACATGAATTTTTAAACAAAGTATTCAAAGCTTCTCTGTTAGGTTTACCACTAAAAATGAAGACATCGCTAATACTAAGTTAGTTTTAAAAGAAGCAGAAATGAGGGAAAGAGGCCTGTAAAGGTTTGAGCAAAAACCGATTGAAAATAAGAAAGTTATTAATTTTTTAATCAAACGCAAATTGGTAACTCTGTGACGTAACTCGCGATCATCTCCCATCAGACCTGTTCTAAACACTTCAAAAGTCGATATTTTCCCTTAAGAAAATTTTTAATCATACATTCACTCTAAATATAAATATTGCTAATTGTTTGTACACAATGACTGTATGAAACAAATCTATTCCGCCATCAATAACTAAGAAACTCATGGTGGACGTCCGAAAAGCTATAGTTTCAGCACGCAATTTAAAATAGCCAATTAGCTCCTTAACAATAAAATTGATTAATATGAATACGTTTTAATATATACTAGGCGACCCAATGCATAAGACCCATCCCTCATAAAAGAAAACATAACAAACAAAAAACATGACCAAAAAAATCGTCTGATTTTCTTGATAAAATTGTTGATGAAGTCCAAAAGATGTATAATTATTATTCGAACATGTCAAAGCTGCTTTTTCCATATTATACACTCAGCTGGATTTCAACTGAAATACCTTTATGGAAGTTGTTCGTATAGTGTAAGACCCAATATTACAATCCCTTCATTCCCTAACACAACACCCTTACCCTTTAATACATGCAAGATAAGCACATTCCAATAGAGTATGTCATTCCACTTTTTACTTAGAAATAACCACTGACCATGGCCAAATATGGTCTCAAATGGCTCATGTCAGACCATAGCTTGGACTCTCCCAAAAGTATAAATAGTTTGTAAAATCAATCATGTGGCTTCTTCAAGTTCTCGTCCTCACCACCTTCAGGTGGGGATTGGACAGCGATTGCCCCTGCCTATTGTAGGCGTACACAGAGGGGAGGCTATAATCATCTATAATAAAATACCATCTTGAACTATATATTATTAATTGTTTCGAGTCATCTATTGATATATCTTGCTAACACTCATCATAACCACGCTACCAACTATCAACAATTCGGAGTGTTACACTGGTGGCAGCGTGAAGCGGTATACGCCATCCTGCTCGGAATCTCTTTTTTTGTATGAAATGTCATACGGATCATCAACATCACAGAAAAGCGTGATTGTTTATTGGGCTCGGACATAGACTGTGCTTATTATTTGCTGAAGACTTTTCTTTATTTCTTCAGTTTTTGTCTTCAATCTACATCTATTGGTGTTCTAACATTCCTGCTAACTGTGCTTGGTGAGAGGATTACTTCATCGAAGACCATTATTGTCCTGCTACTTGCTACTACAGTATGTGACTTCCCCTGCAAGCTGGATGTCTCTACGATATTGTGTGAACAACTTGTTGTTGTTTTTAAGTTCTTTGCCTTTTTGATATTTTGTTAGGTTGTCCGGAGCCTAACTGTTGCATCTTTCTCGAGGGATGCCAATTCTCAATCGTCATATTTTTCAAATGTACATGATATTGATTTGTATTTTCATGTGCTATAGTTCTTTATTTGAACATCTATCGTTCTGTTTTATACTAATGTTCTAATTTTGATATGGTCTATTAGCCCATATTAATTGTATTTGCCTGTTTACTATGCTATACACAGACTTTTGTTTACATGTGTGAACTTCTTCTGTGTATTTTGCTATTTTGCCTTTCTGATATTGATTGTATGTTTGTTGCTTTTGCTTTTATTGGACATGTTGATGTGTCATCTCTATCATGGGTTGGCACAATGACACACACAGGCCCGAATTCACAACGGAGGTCTGAGGACAGACCCGGTTTGATCAGACCAAGGTTTGTACAAACCTCGGTCTGAGCTCAAACCTGGTTTATTTTCAAACCCATTCCACAAAGGAAGGTTTGTATAAACCTTGGTCTGTAATTCCCAAACCTCCGACCAAGGTTTGTAAAACTAGTCTCAGCCATAGGGTTTCTAACATAATTTTTATGGGCTAGGGTTTAAATGTTAAGAATTGAAAAAACTGTTAAACTAAGCATTCTTAGTACGATCCGGACATCTTAATGAGCAATCTTGAAAAGATGATGGTTAGAACATCTCTGAAATAAACTTTTGAATTGTATTTTCATGAATTAATCGAACCAAACTGGCGCGCCGATGCAGAAAGTGCCCCACGTACTCACATTTGTGTGGTGCTGGTGAAGCACTCAATCTGACCCAGAACAAATTGACATCGGCACCTGAAAACCTTCGTTAGATAAATACATCTAAGGTTGTCAAGGGCTCTTTTAAATTAACTGTAAGAGTCTTATTGTTTTGGGGGTTACACATTCTTATCAATAAAATCACCTAATAATAATAATAATAATAATGATTTAATATGAATTAAGTTTTTATTGTGATTAATATATTAATTCATTTGATTGCAATTGTTAATTACTATACATCTATATAGTTATTTTGTTAGAATGGTCAATCAATTATTATTTTAACTAGTTCCCCGTTTGTTTCCCCAACTGGCTATTTTTTTCACATCAAAATTGCAACTGGTAAATGATTTGTTTCCATATAATATTAATTTTTTTAAATTCCTCTATGGCCATCTTTTCTTTCTCTCTCCCTCCCTGTCTCTTTCTCTGTCCCCGTCCCTCTCTCTTTCTACCCATTTTTGTTCTCTCTCCCTCCCTTTCTCTATTAATTCTTTTTCTTTCTCCCCTCTTTCTCTATTCATCTTTCTCTATCTCCCTCCCTGTCTCTTTCTCTGTCCCCGTCCCTCCTCTCTTTCTATACCCATTTTTGTTCTCTCTCTCTCCTTTTCTCTCTCTATTAATTCTTTTTCTTTCTCCCCTCTCTCTCTCTCTCTCCCTCCCTTTCTCTCTCTATTAATTTTTTTCTTTGTCCCCTCTCTCTCTCTATTCAACTTTCTCTCTCTCTCTCTTCTTCTTCTTTTTTGCAATGAAACACATAATGCAAAACCATGCAAACTGCAAACACACACATCTGCACCCCCCCCCCCCCCAAAAAAAAGGGAGAAAGAGAGAGAGAGATAATCTGACACATATCTATTTCAGTTATCTTTGTAAATATATGAAAGCAAGAATATTGTATTTGTATTTTCATGTTTTACATAAATAATTGAGCATACAACACAATAGTAATCTACCGTTTGTTCAAACAATGCAGTTCACATTTGTAAATTTTGTAGCATGCTTATATGAAATATAGCCCACTAGAGGTTAAGAGAGGCTCTGGAAGGCCAATTAAAAGTCTCACTGTAGCGCTATTAGCAGAAAGAAAATCAGAAATACAACAAAATGGGTGACGAAAATTCAAATTTGCACATAAAAGTTCTTTAATTCTGACTTCGCTTAGTACAGTAAATAATATTTGTTCGAATACTCTCCCCTAGCTGCCAACCAAATAATTTATATTGACCCACCCCTCAACTCAGCAGTACAATGCTAATTATAGTTAAATCGGGTGCATTTAATCTATAGAGAACACTTAATTACAAATACCGTCAGAGTGACAACAAATACTTATCAACTAAACATAACATCAAAAATATTCAACACCCAGGTTCTTGATGTAATGCTGCATAACTACGAAGTATTGTGGGAACACCAAGGAGGGGCCGTATTTTGAAATACTCTTAGTATTGATGAGGCATGGAACGTCCTCATCCTCGCATTTAATAAATATGCGCTCAATCACACATCTCCCTTTTTTGTGTGTGAAGTGTTAAAGCCCCACTGTACTACTTTTAGCTACTTGCTCCCTCTATATAAAAAACTTCCCCAATCTGTGCCTGTTAATCCCCCATGATCCTCTTTTTCTTATGTTAATTGAGAACTGAATTGATGAGATAGCCTCCCGTCAGTGACCTTGCTGGGTTGTCTAATCCTCTTTGGCTGAACTAGTACAGATGGCCTTTAAAGCACATCATTGGTCGACCCTCTGAATAAAGAAATGGCTTCTGATGAGGCAGAGAAGGCATGGATACCTGCAAAATTGAATGAACAAAATAAACAATATCATAAACAATATTTTTAATTTCGACTTGTTCATTTTTTTTCTTGGAGGGGGGTGGGGGGGGGGGGTAATACTATAGAAAGGATACAATGTATTGTACACATAATCAGGAATTATTCAATCCTGTGTCACTAATACAAAAACTATGAGGTTCCACTTGACAACAAACTAATCAAGTTGCATCCAGATATCAAAAACATTAATTGTGATTTGTGAACTGAAATTTAAAAGCACATGAGCTCGTTTGAATTAATTACTTAATGCGAGTTGTTACTATATTACCAAATGAACATTCCTAACATGTCACATGTTGGCCAAATACAAAAAAGGAAACAAGATTGATTAAGAAAAAGAATAAACAAATGTTTTCATATAAAGAAATAATCTACAGTACCTACCCTATAGTCTATCTCCAAGAATCAACTGTTATTCATATGCCCTAGCATCAAGCTGTCAATTCAGTGCACACTCAGAAAAGATCCTGGCATCGTGGCTGCTACCAGTCCAGGCCACCTTGCAACGATACTAGTTATTTTCCCAGCATAATCACAGACAACCTGTCAATATGAAATAACATGTTGGCATTCATTAGTTATGAAAACTCACTCATTTCACACTTCAGATAGGCCGTGAAATGTATAAATTTCACTTGTTATTTATGGTAATTAATGCAAATGCAGTTGAATATGTGATAATTGCTTTTCAATATCTATTCATACAACAAAAATTGGAAGAAAATTCTAATTACCCTATATTTATTGACTGATGAAGTATTTCTTCATTTTTAACTCATGTTTTCATTGTTTATCTTGTAACAATGTAAACAAAAATAATCTCACTTTTAACAAAACATTTCGAGCCTAAAACAACAAATGCTTTGTTTGTGTGTGTGTGGGGGGGGGGGGGGGGGGGGTACCCACTCTCGCATCTTTTTATTGGAAATGAACCTGTTTGTTTTTCTATAGTTTAAAATATATAGTGGTAATTGCCATTGATCAATTTACATGCTTCTCTTTGTTGTTTTTTCTTTCATTGATCAATGGCAAAAACAGTGGCCCAATTGCCATGGCCATCAACAAAATATCAGAAATCTAGAGGTCATATCCGTATTGCCAATAGAAGGATGGAACAAGTTTTGATTTTTCAAATTTCCCTTTCGTTAAAAAGATATTAACGAGTGTTAGGATTTTTAAGTTTAACTATCCATTGGATATTCTTAACTGTGTACAAAGGCAGTGAAATGAGTACCTGTACGCGAATATTACTTTAATATCCATTTGGCCACTAGAAATCTTGCATTGGTCACCAATGAATTAGCATGGATGTACAACACACAAGACTGGAGAGTGTATATATCTAATGTGAAAATTTTGCAAGGTACAAAAAAAAAGGTCTAAAGGGAAAGCCGTGCTGGATCCAGTCATGATGTATTCATTTATTCTCACCTGAACATCGATGGAGTACCTGTTCTTCCTATTGAAGTAGTACCTGGCTCTTGCCCCACCAGGGCTCCTGATGTAAACATGTGTCCCATCAACAGCAACTCCTGGAAATCTGCAGTACTGGAAAAACTGCTTCTGAATAGTAGTCACTATTGCCTTGTAACTTGTAGGAAACTTCATGACTTGTCCCTTTCTTCTGACAACAGCTTCGGAAACATCCCTCACTCACTACTCTCCATTCGGCAAACAGATGAATATGACACGGCATGCCACCTCCTCACGGTGCATCCTTTAGATCGAATTACCTTTTTTAAAAAATTAAAAAAACAAGCATTCAAATAAATCATTTTTTTGCTGGTTTATGCTATTATATTTTTACATCCCCAACTGTCACTGTCACTTTACAAAACAAAAAATCCTGATTTCTAGATGTGGTGTGAATCAATTTAACGTAAAAGACAAAATTGTCTATGCCTTTTCTAATCTCCTTCACGGCTTCACCTTTTGAAAAATAAGTTTAAGTAGTTAAGTAGTTTTACACAAAACAAGAAATCACAAACCTGTTTCCAACACATAATCTGAATAATTTCCTCATGTATTAAAGCCAAATAACAGTATTGGGAAATGCCCCACACACAAATTATGAACATTAATGCTCCCATCACCTACAGTACCATGTAAAAGAATAAATATCATAACTAATCTATCAATGTATCGAATATGACAGAAAATGCTTAGAAATTGAATAAATTTATGTAAATGCACATGTGTATTGCATTGGGGGCTTGCACGGTCGTAGGCAGACCAGCGAAGCGGGGCAAACGAACAGTGAATTTAGGCGGTCAACATGAATTGAAATATTTCTGCATTTTAATAACGACACTAGTCTAGGGTTGGATTTTACAACAGAAGCCCTTTTTTTGTATAGCTATGTTAACAATATTCATCAAGTAGTTTGGCCATGTTTTCAGCAACTTTCCCAATACAGAATTTGAATTCAAAGTAGCCTACCTCAATCTAAAACAAAAGGCTCATCATCCAGCGGGTTTTCCCAATCTCAGACTCAGAGGCCTCTGCCCGGTTGTGCTGCTATATATTGCTCCAGCTCCTCCTTCAGGTACACCAGCTCATTATGCTGAATCAGCTGCATTTCTACCATCTTTATTAGAGTGAAGATAAAATTAAACAAATGTTTAAACAATGTTTTTAAATTAAAGAAATGTTATTACTTGTGCTTGTGACTTTGTGGGTGATCCTTGCTCTGGAGACTAAGCCAGTTAATTAAGACAATCAGAACCAGATCTAAATTTAATAAAACTAAGCTTTGCTTGTCACGACTCATACTAGATCTAGTCATAGACAGAAATAACCGTCTGAGTGATATGGGTCATTTCTTTAATAAAAATAATATTAAAACTGACATTTGTTGACATTCTATAATCGGAGGTCGAGTGGAGCCAGGCGTAGTCTCAGTGAACAACCGGCGATATAGAGAGACTGAAGCTTTTGGTCCATGCCTGTCAGTGTGATTCATTTTGGGGAACATTGGCATTGCTGATGCCATTTTAATTTCTATTTATTTAGGTACCAGTGTCAGTGAAACAAGTCAAGTGATGGACATCATTGCCAGGCCTATACTAGGCTAGAGCCTGGTATTATTATCATTATCATGAATTTGTAATAACTAGTGTAGGTCTAGGCCTATTCTAATAGGCATGTGTCATGGCATTGCTGACAACAAGACGAAATTAAACATGACAGTCATACTGACATACTCAGATATAGCCTACTGTAGGCCCGGCTAGGCCCAACTCCAGCCCAGGGTCAGAGGGTGCGAGCTCCCCCGCCGCCTTGGGCGTTGGACTCGAGCTCCCTCGGACTCAGTCCCTGAACTCTGGAATTGAGAGGCCGTCGGATATGTAAACACCGAACATTTCATGGAAAATGGAAAGTTATAAAGCATATCACATATTGAAATCTCAGTAACGTGAAGAGTATGGATTCGACTACATGTACAGGTTTTATACTTACGATTTTAAGGAAAGGATCGAGAGATTGAGAGATTTCAATTGCACTAAAATCGGGCTGACCAGACACTATCGCAGATTGTTTAGGCGGTGAATTATTTGGATAAAATCAATCGAGCATAAATTATCTCTACCCAGTGCTGCATCCTGATTGGTTGATAGCTCTCAAACCAGGTTTGAGAAATTACAAACCTCCTATCTGAGCAGTCTGTAAATTTCGGGTCTGATGACGTACATAAACCTGGTCTGAGGACAAACCTTGCTTTGTGAAATGTAATTTCAGACCAAGGTCTGAACTCAAACCTGAAACGCGTCATATGACGTACATAAACCTTGGTCTGAGGACAAACCGGCTTTGTGAAATGCATTTCAGACCAAGGTCTGAACCAAGGTCTAAAACGCGTCATATGACGTACGTAAACCTTGGTCTGAGCTCAAACCTTGCTTTGTGAATTCGGGCCACAGTGTTTCAAGTCCATCTCCTTGCCCTCCGCTTTTTGTTACTCTTTACTTTCCAGGTGCTACGTCACCTGTGCCTGCCCTCATTGACCATTCACACCCCGTTTCATTAGTCAATGAAAAACTTCTGAACAAGTTGCCGTGCTTGCGGGAACTTCACGTTTACCCTCCCGCACATTCTTCTCCCGTCTATCCACTGGGTTGTATAATCACTGCTTCTCATTTCCTAGACCCTGCATTTCCCGTGTCCTGTGAATTCCACATTGCTAGTGATATCGAGCCACTTGTTATTTTAGGTAATGACTATTTGTCTCGATTAGCTTCATTGTATGATTTTCACATAGACAACGTTTCTGGTATCTCCCTCTCTTCCTTCCTATATGACTTTGTATCTGGTCTCTCCTTTTCTTCTGTTCGTATTTCTTTTCTTCATCCCAGCTTAGTATCCTTTTTAGATCCTTTCTCTGACTGTCATCCATCTAACTGTCAGAAGACTGTTGTTGACATTCCCGCTGAACAGATCACAACCTTCCCTGAGCCTTGCTGTAATACCCCCATTCTTTCTCCCACTGATTATGTTTCCACTGAGATTAACCCCTCATTTCTCCCAACTGATGCCCACCTGCCCAGTGATACCCCTTCACCGAAGCATCCTATCCATGCCCCTATGTCCCTCGATCCAGTTATAGGGACTGTCCTCTTGACACCTCGTTCGGCAATTGAGTCTGTAATCAGAATCCCATTGCTATTTCTCCAGGATGTTTCGAGGCTTGCCAGAACACCAACTCTCTATCCACCATCTCTTGCTTCACGGCTACCCTCCATCCCCGTAACCCTACATTCTAATACCCATTGCCCTTCCTTACCTCATGGTCCAGGCCCCCCTTTCATCCAATATTATAAAGAAAAAGCTACAGCTGGTTAATGACCCTGATTTTGTCTTGATCTTGATTCGTCTTTAATTCCATTACTCCCATTCATCGTATTTAAGTTTATTACAACTTTGATTTGGTAACATTGGCTTTAAACGATAATTAGCTGTACAATCTCTTTTCTTCAGATATGTTTAACTTTTAATACAATGGTGAAACACATTGAGAAGTAATTTGTAATTTGAATGACTGGCCATCATCTAAATTATATTTGCCTTCATCTGTTTCTGTTTCTGTTGCATTCAATGTATGTGGACAAAATTATGATTCATCACCACCCCTCTCTATTACAACTTACAGCTATGATTATTATGACTTCCCAGTGACATTAAAATATTTTTACATTATCAAATGTTGATATTTTGGGTTGTTCCTTTTAATTCATCCATCTTTTTGTGCAAGAGCAATATTTCCTAAATTGTGTTTTTGCTAGCTTGGTTTACTCTACCTTTACCATTCTTACAGAGTTTGTTACAATGATTATTGTAGATAAATAGTATTTGCCATGCCCTTGTATACACCTGGCAAATTATATCTTGTTATTGTCATTTCAACATGTTGGCATAATTTCTTTACAACATGGTTAGAACCGCACTTTTCCCCAAATTTGATTAGAAATTTCATGCAGCATTATCAGCCTGTGTTTTACATGAAATTATGATATGTGAATGTATCATTAATTTTGGTAGTTGGCTTAAAGCAGGAAATAATTCATGTTCTACAAAGTCATTTTGAACATATTTTCGGCTATTCGATAGCTATTTAGCTACATTCATTTTCTTTATTTTAACATATTAGTTTTCATTGTGTGTTTATGTTATCAGCATTTTTAGGTTTTATTGTACTGAGTTATATTCACATGTTTTGATAGAAACGGCATATGCTTTGTTATGCTAACGATTTTGCTTTTCATTTATAATCCATATTATATTCTAGTCTTCAGTGTATTTTCATTTATGTGTTCCATTTTTCTTGTTATTGTATAATGGTACCTCTTTTTGTAGTTTAGTTAAGAATTTAGTTCAATGGTTTGATTTTTATTAATTCCAGTATATGTTTCCAATTATAACGGCAGCATAATCACAGTTTCGTTTTCCCAGTAGGTTAATTAAAATACTGTTTGTCATGATAAAATCAAATTTATATGAGTGGATGACTCCACTTCTTCTTTAAAAGTTGGATTTTTGTTCTCAAACATAAACCCGGCTGTTGTCATCTTGATCAATTATTACATGTACTTCCAACCAGGAATGTAGACTGGTCAATCTGACCTAAGGTCATGAGTCATGTTGTGGTAATGTCTATCCAAATGCTAATAATTCCCTCAATTCCGGTCCAGAGTAAACTACATGTACATACAGTACATGTATGCATATAAAATTATGTTTTTGTCTGTGCTCCTGTAATGATCACCTTTTTATTGTATGCACATTTGATTTGAAGTTATGGCGTTTTGTATTTTAAGACTGTTTGTTACATACTTTGAGTAGTTTACACTATATTTCCATCCACAATTATTTCATAAGCCACAAGTCGGTGTGACTTTTTCATTTGCCTGTAATTGCAAATAATATTTTACTTTATATATTTTTATATAAGTGTTTACATGTCAATGCTATCGCCTCTGATTTTTTTAAACGAGGACGTTTCTTTTCGGTAGAGGTAACTATATGTAAGACCCAATATTACAATCCCTTCATTCCCTAACACAACACCCTTACCCTTTAATACATGCAAGATAAGCACATTCCAATAGAGTATGTCATTCCACTTTTTACTTAGAAATAACCACTGACCATGGCCAAATATGGTCTCAAATGGCTCATGTCAGACCATAGCTTGGACTCTCCCAAAAGTATAAATAGTTTGTAAAATCAATCATGTGGCTTCTTCAAGTTCTCGTCCTCACCACCTTCAGGTGGGGATTGGACAGCGATTGCCCCTGCCTATTGTAGGCGTACACAGAGGGGAGGCTATAATCATCTATAATAAAATACCATCTTGAACTATATATTATTAATTGTTTCGAGTCATCTATTGATATATCTTGCTAACACTCATCATAACCACGCTACCAACTATCAACAATTCGGAGTGTTACAATAGCAAGGGATCAGAGTCACAATTCCTGCTTAAGTGACATTTTGCGATATTGCACAAGGCTTTTAAATATAATTTCTAAGAATTTCTTAATCAAATTGTCAATAGTAAGGTCTTTCAGTGTCTTTTAGTGTGACTCATGTAGAATTATCTTTTGTTGACGATAAAAACTCTCATTACCCGTGGCCATGATGGCTTACATCTATGATGAAGCACAAATAACCAGATTTAGATACACATGTGCAATTAAGGGATTGATTTCGACAATTCGTAGAAAACGAGGCAACAAAATATGCCAGGTAGTATTATTAGCATATGCCTCAGTCGTATCTCTAATTCCACTTACGTCATAGGCAATTTCTTAGTACACTCAATGAATGTATTTCAATGGTAAAAATAAGGCTTCCTGGAAGATCAATAATAATATTTCAGTCGTTCTCAAAGACTGAAATAACAAAAATGATAAATTGAATTAATGAAAAAAGATGGAAGGGGGGGGGGGCATATATGCGACTAGAGTTTGTATGTAATTGTACGTTACTAAAAAAAATAAAATTACAAAATATGTCTCAAATGTCGCAACAAACTTTGCCAAAGGCTCCTTCGATGTAGCACCTTCTCATAATTTAACTTGAGATGATGGAAAGCAAACTCTTAACTGACAATAAATAAAACCACGTAAATGAATAAATAATATTTGATACGTGCCAAGCCAAGAACTAGACCAACGACTTGGAGCATAATATCCATCTTGGATTGTGAAGTATTGTTGGGTTTTTTTTTCTTGATAAATAATAATAATAATAGTTTAGGTCTTGTATAGCGCATAATACGTTATGAAATAACATCTCTAATCGCTTCCAAAGAGCTTTGGACTTTATTACCCTAGCTTTAGCTCCGGCAGCCTTATAAGCGCATAGTGCATTTCAAGGAATTATCCTACCAGGTACCCATTTACCTCACCTGGGTTGAGTGTGGCAAATGTAGATCAATGTCTTGCCAAAGGACATTAGTGCCGCGGCGGGACTCGAACCGCGGACCTTGTGATCGACAGTCCGGTGACGTATCCACTCGACCACAACACCTCTAGAGAGGAGTGGTCTTTTTTTTTGTTTTTTTTTTGTTGGGGGGGGGGGGGGCATTTTCATACACTTGGAAATCGTACATGAACCCCATTCCTTACGTAAACTTTCACTGCCTGTCCACTCTCTCTCTCTCTCTCTCTCTCTCTCTCTCTCTCTCTCTCTCTCTCTCTCTCTTTTACTTTTCCGCCATCATTCATTCTCTCTCACTCTCCCTATTATATGCAAATGTATTGTATACATATCAGCTTTGGGAAGTCTCGTAGAAATAGATACGCAACCATTTACATCGCATTATATATATATATATATATATATACATATATATATATATATATATGTATATATAGGCTCTATATATGTATATATATTATATATAAATTCAAAGCAATATTAAACTATACAACATCTTTGGCATCTCTCGTGGATATAAATGGAATGCGTGTTTATACAGTTAAAAACAAAATTATCCATACCCCTTGTAATTTTAAAGTCATTTGTGTTATTCTTAAAATGAAAAGTGGACTAGCAATTTGTGAAAGTAACATATACCTGCAATATGCTCATGCGAAAATAATCATATGTGTAAAACATTAAACAGTATTTCCGCATTAATTCAAGTTATTATACTTTATCGTTATACGTGATACACTTCAAATTGTTGACAGTGGCTAGCTCCCGGGGAAACAGACTGAAAGGGCCGGCCCCCGCAATATCGAGTGCATGGTGATTAGAAATAAGAAAAACATAAATAGAGAAAGAGATGTACAGAGAGGGAGAGAGAGAGAGAGAGAGAGAGAGAGAGAGAAGGGGGGCGGGGCGGGAGTAAGAAAGAGAGGAAGAAAAAAGAAAGAAGATTACATTTCCCCATCTTGTAAAACTTGTGCCCATCCCATTCCTCCAACGACACCATGCAGTATCCCTATGCTACACCACTGAGAGTCGATGCATTGAAGAGTATACCATGTCAACACAGGGTATGCAGTCATCATGTGGTGTAGTTTCGACCAGACATGTCAGAGGCGTAGCCAGGCCATAATGAAAGGGTGGGGGGGGGGTGATGGGACTAAATTTGCATGCAAAGTCGGGGGATACCGTCCCAAGACTCTTTCATTTAGTAGAGTAATGTATTTTTGGTTGATTTGTTGTTGATTGTTTGTTTCTTAGTTGCCGTTAAGTAGGATAAATTAGGCATTTTTCAGAGGAAGACATTTTCAGAAAAGTATATGGGGGAAGGGGGTCCCACCACCCCCGTCCTCAAGCAACACTTGGTTTCAAGATGACGTAACTTGAAAACGAACCACATCAGTTATATATAGCAACATGTCGCCATCCTATATCCCAAGTCGGTCCAAAAATGGCAACAAAAATCAATATCATCATATTTTCTTACTTACTTTCAATCCATACGTCACATCATCATATCCGTCTGAAAATAATGTGAGAGAACGGCGCTCCCGTTATCCTGTCTGTCATCATGGCTCATTCATCTTTTATTTATATATTTTTGAAGAATGGTTATACAGAAATATTTATAAAAAACGACGGACAATTTCATCAGGTGTTTATTTCAAGGAGCATGTAGAAGTATAGAAAATATACAGGACGAAGCTTCCGCATTACATGCTCAAAGACAAATCAAAACAACATAATTACTCCGGTTTATGCAAGAACAACAAAATAAACAAACAAACAAACACTGGAGCACAATTTTTAAAGAAAAATTATAGAGACAATTTAGCATTAAAAGTGGCATTACAAAAAGACATTTATTGTTATAGGCTTAGGGTAACTGTTATAAAAGAAAAGACACAACCAAAGCAATATTTCTTTGAAAACAAAAAATGAAATCTGAACCAATAAAAGAGAAATATAAAAGGAAAAATTCTTAGTAAAATACAACGTTTTTGCAGACTTCTAAAATGTATAATAAGTCATGAAAATTATATTTGGACAGGAAAATGCACATCATTCAGCTTAAAACTAAGCATATTTTTTCCTTGTGAAATGTATTAGAACATTGATACTGAATTTAAACAGGAGAAGGCTTCAAATATAGAAAGAAAGCAACTGAAGCTTTCTAACATCTTTAACAAGCATAATTATTCAAGCTGCTATCGAGCACACTGAAGGAAAATGTTTTCATATACTCCTTGTTTATATCAGAATGATAGTGCCGCAGATTATCCATTGAAGATCGTTCTTGAAGTTGAAGCAAGAATATGCTAAAAGGATTTTAACTTCGTTCGCAATGAGTAACATACTGAAGTATCCATTCAATTTACCCAGAAGATAACAGACGTTATAAGAAGTTTTGCATTGTCTTCAATTCTGTGTATAATTTTATATTGCCTGGGGAATCATTTGAGGGATTCCGTTTTCAATTATGATACTTCATCTGTCATCTTGTGGTAAGATTCTCTGTTGGAACGGTACCAATGCACTATTTCCGATATTTGTTCAGATTATCATCCATTAACATGGCTCTTTTATTCTTCTCCTCTCTTCTCCTCTTGAAACACACTCTTTCTCTCTCCCTCCTCCTCTATTGTATTTGTATCTTTTCCCTTTTTATCCCTTTTTTGACATGA